AGCAAGATAAGGGGTTGCGGCTTCAAGTTCCCGGCTCCAGGGCCCGAAAGATTCCCGGCTGCGGGCTTGAAACCTAAGGGGTTTAGGGTTTAGGGTTTAGGGTTTAGGGTTTAGGGCTTAGGTTTAGGGTCTAGAGTCTAGGGTTTAGGGTTTAGGGTCTAGGGTTTAGGGTTTAGGGTTTAGGGTTTCGGGTTTAGTGGAATGATCAGAATCATAACCCTTTAGGGCTTAGAGCGTAGGGTTTAGGGCTTAGGGCGTAGTAGGGTTTAGGGGTTTGGGGCTTTGGGTTTAGGGTTTGGGGCTGGTGTTTTAGGTGTTCGGAATTGTGATAGGTTTCAGAAGGATCCTTACCAAGGAACTTCACGACGCAAAACACAACAGGTACCTCCACATCCGCGAACAGCCAAAGTTTCAGCCCTCGCACTAGAGCAGGAAGACTTCTGATAAGTGTCTCGGACATGGCCAACTGAAAAAAACGCTTCATTTTACAGACCATACGCGTCGAACAACGAGCTTTTCCCCTAAAATCCCACTGACAGCGGAACATCGCAACCTCAAAGCATCCAAACCCCACTCCTATTGGGATCTCAATCGGGCCCTGATCCGCATGTAGGGGCCTTCACAATTAGAATAGGGTTTTGGGGGATTCCTTACGATAACTGTTAACCATAGTATAATACACCACCAAACCCTGTTGAAGTTTTGTAAGGCCCCTAGATTAAGCCAGCCCTGCTTGAAGGACAATGGGCACGACAAAATTGATTTTAGAAAGCACATATGGGCAGTTCTCCAAATTAGGGTCCCGCTGCCAAATATGGTACGGCACCCTTGCACATGACCACTTGAGCCGGGTGGTGCAAGTCGTAGTTATAAGTTGTCAGACCATGCAAACACCAGGACGCGTTTAGGGTCTAGGGATCACATGCTTCAACTGGAGGCAAGAGGACTTTCAGGAAGGCCGTGAACCCTCAACCCCGAAAGCCAGGTACAAAACGAGAACTATCTTGGGGGTTCTTATTATAGTTATAGTATAGTGGGCCCCAAAACCCTATTCTAATTATTAAGGCCCCCATATTATGTGAGGTCTGACCCAAGACTCGCTGTTGTGAAGATGCGCAGAAGACCTCCGAAAGTGAGACCTATGCCTGCTGTCCTAGCATGAAACAGCATAAGCAGAAGGATCCTTGCCATAGGGCGCCCTTTGAAGCGAAGAAACCCGTATCAGAAGGGACCCTAGGTACCCTTAAGCTCCATACTAGTTCCTTTTATGGGGATTACCTTATAGAACCCGAAATATAGATCACAACAAGGAACTATAATGGAGCCTATGGGTAATAGGAACCCTAACCCTAAACCCTAAACCCTAAACCCTAAACTTCAGGACTTCGGAGTGAACATCGGGTGCCTGGAGACACGGGCACGATGTACTCGCTTTCCACCTCGGCGCGCCGTGGCTATGGGACCCTAAACCCTAAACCCTAAACCCTAAATCCTAAACCCTAAACCCTAAATCCTAAACCCTAAACCCTAGACCCTAAACCCTAAACCTTAACCGGTCTGAGGCCTTAGGCTCTCTCGGATTTCGGGAAAAGGTGCTTTAGGGACTAGGGCTTTAGGGTTTAGTGCTTTAGGGTTTAGGGTTTTAGGGTTTTAGGGTCTAGGGTTTTAGGGTTTTGGGGTTCAGGGTTTTAGGGCTTCGGGTTTTCGGGCTTAGGGCTTTAGGCTTTAGGGTTTTGGGTTTTAGGGTTTAGGGTTTAGGAGTTAGGGCTTTATATGGGTGGTTCTCTAAATTAGGGCCCCTTTTCTGTCCCCAAAATAGTACGGCACCCTTATCAAAAGGACCCTAAAGGGGATCCTAAGTTAGAGAACTACCCATATACTGATCAGTCCAAACCCAGACTTCCACCTACACCTCAGAACAAGGCAGCCCCTCCGTGAGACGGTGCTATCCATGTTGATCCTCACAGACAGAAGCACTCGACACAGGCCGCAACCCTCAAGCCAACCCTTCCTCTCCTAAGGTAGACCAATAGCATAGTAGCTACCTCAATCCTGACTCCATAATCGTAGCGCATACTGCAAGCCTCTCCAGAAAACTGACTGCTATACCAGCCCCTAAACCCTAAACCCTAAACCCTAAACCCTAAACCCTGAACCCTAAACCCTAAACCCTAAACCCTAAACCCTAACCCCTAATACACAGCTCAAACCTCCTCACTTCCTCACCAGGTT